AAATGGCCAACAGGCATATGAAAAAATGTTCAACATCACTTGTCATCAGGGAAATGCAAATCAAAACTACCATGAGATACCATCTTACACCAGTAAGAATGGCACATATTAAAAAAAACAGCAACAACAAATGTTGGTGAGGTTGTGGAGAAAAAGGAACTCTCCTGCACTGTTGGTGGGAGTGCAAACTGGTCCAACCACTATGGAGAGCTGTGTGGAGATTTCTGGACCTACTAAACATAGAGCTTCCATATGATCCAGCAATTCCACTCCTAGGTATTTACCCAAAAGACACAGAAACATCAATTCCAAAGAACACCTGCACCCCTATGTTTATAGCAGCACTATTTACAATAGCTAAGCTTTGGAAACAGCCCAAATGCCCAAAAATAGATGACTGGATCAAGAAGATGTGGTACATATATACCATGGAATATTACTCAGCATTCAAAAAAGATAAACACATGCAATTTGCAGCAACATGGATGGCGCTGGAAGGGATCATGCTCAGCGAAATAAGCCAAAAAGAAAAAGAAAAATATCGGATGGTCTCACTCATAGCAGGAATCTAGAAAACTTAAATAAGGGATCAGGAAAATGAATAACTATAAGAAAGTGAAAATCAAAATCAACAAAAATCTATGAACCAGAGACACTTTTTGGGGGGTGGGGGCCGGGAGGGGAGGGATTGGGGTCAGAATGGGGCATGTGCAGTTGTATGGGGGAATATAAAAATAAAATTTATTATTTAATAATAAAAAAAAAGTCCCTTCTGGTGGCATTTACAAAATTATCTGTCATTTCATCTCCTTCACAGTCATGTATTTTGCTGTCCACTTGCTTATATGCACAATTCTTGGAGAGTAAACACTGTGAGAAATATGGCTTATTAACCAAGTGGAGACAGCAGCAGCAGATAGAACTTATTGTATATCTATTGGCCATAAAGCATGACTATGAGCCACATTTTATAAAACTTCCAGAACAAAGATCATTATAAGGTGATTTTCAGATTTTATGAAATTAAATACAGAATAGTGTTGACCTGAGTTCTTTTTATCTCATTAAAGCAGAAAATATCAAAGATCATTTTATATTCAAACCTATGATTTGATTTAACTGCTACAACTAAAAAGACTTTTGCTTTGGTTGTTTTTAAAGGAATCAGTACCCAAAACCAGTCTGCTAAGAATTAATAATACATGGAAGACAATAAAGACTAACTCAGAAATTTCTTCTGAAAATACACTGATGAGAATGGCCCATAGGAACTTTCAGGGATATTCTAGATATATGCAGTAAAATGTAAGGGAAAGTTGAAGCTTCTTAGCTCTCGAGTTTTCTGGGCTAGAGGCGCCTTATGACTGACATCTGCCTTCAATCATTAAGGAGACACCAGTTAAGAAATGGGTAGTTGGGAGCTATACTTAGTAAAGCAAATGTGAATCAGTAAAATCTAATGAAATCCATTATGATCACTTCTATTAGCCTACATCACCTAGAAATACTGACAATTACTTGGAGCACCATTATGAATATTACGAACTGCAGACAGTTGCTTGGGAAGAAGCCCCAGTGCCTAGGGGCACCGCAAACCCTGTCTTTGCCATGACCTTGTAAGACATATGTAATGTGATATATGGCTTCTGGGCTTCTTTCCAGGTCAAAAAATGAATTAAGTCACACTAACACAGATTCTAATTAAGGGATGTAAGATTTTTGCCTAGTCAGAACAATCAGTATAGGGGGAAAGAGTATGCAAAGTATACTATTTTATACTACAGATTTGCTCTCTAAAATTCTTATGTACCAGAAATTATTTATTTTCTTATAATTTACCTTCTATTTGTATATCTTATTATATTCCACTGCCATTTAAATAATTTTGCCACAAAGCTCCTCATATTAATCAAGTTATTATATGCAACCATAAAGGGTATTTAAGGTTTTCTCCTAAAGAGCTGTCAAGAAATTCTGCTTCGGCCACAATGAAGTAAAGGGATCAGGTCTATCCTTCTGCCTTAAACACCTAGAAAATGATGAAAAACACATGAAACAGTGTTCAGACCACAGGAAGTTCAAAACAGTGGCCCTTGAAAGAAGGAAAATGAAAGTGGTTAGCCTTAAGATTGTCCCAGAACATTGGGTGGAGAGGTTCCAGGCTGCAGTGTAAGCCGAGAGAACACAAGCAGAGCAAGGCAGTTCTTCTGAGGTGAGGTGAGGCAGTTCTTCATCCAAGGTTGAGAACTCAAGAAAGTGAAGGTACCTGGAATTTGCAGGGCAGCATACCAGAGAGAAACTACCTTCTGGAGAAGACAGTCATCTAGAAAAAAGCTCCAGAGATCTTCAGAGGGTTTGCTTCAAGTTTTTGGCTTAGCACTGGTTAGTGCATGCAAGGAAGCTATAGGGGCTGGAACAAGAACTGATAAAAATGAACTTGCAGAACAATCCCTGGAGGTCAGTCAGGAGTGGAAATAATCTGGGTCCCACAAGTTGGAGGGGAAAACCCCCCAGGATACATGGAGTATCAAGTAAAGTACTCAAAAGAATATCACAGTATTGAGAAACAGTATTAGCCAGAGATCAATGAAGCTTGAAGTAAGTCTCAAAAGGATCAAAGAGGAAATGCAAATGGCCAACAGGAATATGAAAAAATGTTCAACATCACTTGTAATCAGGGAAATGCAAATCAAAACTACAATGAGATACCATCTTACACCAGTGAGAGTGGCATATATTAAAAAAACTAGCAACAACAAATGTTGGCGAGGATGTGGAGAAAAAGGAACTCTCTTGCACTGCTGGTGGGAGTGCAAACTAGTTCAACCACTATGGAAAGCTGTGTGAATATTCCTCAACCTACTAAAGATAGAGATTCCATACGATCTAGCAATTTCACTCCTAGGTATTTACCCAAAGGACACAGAAACATTAATTCAAAAGGGCACCTGCACCCCTATGTTGATAGCAGCACTATTTACAATAGCTAAGCTTTGGAAACAACCTGAATGCCCAAAAATAGATGACTGGATCAAGAAGATGTGGTACATATACACCATGGAATATTACTCAGCAATCAAAAAAGATAAACACATGCAATTTGCAGCAACATGGATGGAGCTGGAAGGGATCATGCTCAGTGAAATAAGCCAGAAAGAAAAAGAAAAATACCAGATGGCCTCACTCATAGCAGGAATCTAGAAAACCTAAATAAGGGACCAGGAAAAAGAATAACTATAATAAAGAAAAAATTAAAATCAACAAGCAACTATAAACCAGAGACACACTATGGGTAGGGGGGCGGGGAGAGGAGGGATTCGGGTCAAAATAAGGAGGGTGTAATTGAGGGTAATATAAAAAAAATTTTTAAAAAAGGATCAAACTGTATTTGAGTAACTAAACTGCTCCTCAGGAAAAAAGAGTATTTAAATATATAAAGATATGTCTAGCACACAGCAAAGTAAAATTTAGTGCCTAACACATGATAAAAAAAAAAATAAGTAAGGATGCAAAAAAGCAGGAAAATATGACCCAAGATGAGGATAAAAATCAATTCATGGAAACAGACGCAGAAATTACAGAATTACCTTTATATCCTCAAGGTAGAGAAAAGAGACATGGGAGATGCCAAAAAAGACCCAAATATGTACATATGAAAACTATAATTCTGAGATAAAAAAGTACCTATTAGATAGAACTAATGTAAACTAAGTCACTGCAGAAGAAGAGATCAGTGAATATGAAGACAAAGCAATGGAAATTATCCAATATAAATGTGAGGAAAAAAGGAGATGGGAGAAAAAATAATGGAGCATCAATGAACCCTGGGACAACTTCGAATGAGCAAATATATTTGCACCTGTAGTTCCCCAAATGAAGCTGATGGGTACAGGAGACACAACTGAAGAAATAAAGGCCGGCTGTTCCACCCCTCAAATTTCCCCCCTAATTTTTGAATGAATCATACATTCAAGAAACTCAACAAACCTCAACATGAAAAACACCAAAACACATCATAATACAATCGCTTAAAAGTAATGATAAAGAGAAAATCTTAAAGAAGTCAAGGAAGAAAGACATATACAGATGAAAAAAGATAAGAATGGTAATGGCCACTTTGGACAATATGTCTGAGACACATCATTAGATAGATGAGCCATAGAGCTGGAGAAATTCTAATCTCTGAGGACTTTTAGGAGCTGAGTCATCAAATCAGCCCTGGACTTTGAGGATGGAGAAATAAACTTCTGTCCTCTTAAAAATAAATAAATAAATAAAAAAAAGGAATGACAGCAGATTAATTGAAAACAATGTGAACCAGAAGATAGCAAACACTATCTTGAAAACATTGAAAGCAAAAACTATCCACCTAGAATTCTACACTCAGAGAAATTATCTTTCAAAAATTAAAATGAAACACTTTTTCAGACATAAAGATGCTGAAGTAACTCCTTGCCAGCATATTTGCACTATTAGAAATTTTTCAAGTAGAAGGTAATGATAGAAATTTGGATATCCATCCTAGCAAGAAATGGTAAATATATAGAGAAATAAAGTATCTTTCTACCTTATTTTGAAAATACCTTTAAAAAATAATTAACTGCTATTTACAAAAATGAGTTAAAAAAAAAGGATGGAAAAAAAAATGCATGCTAACACTAATCCAAAGAAACAAGGTGAAGTAGCAATATTAATGTCAGAAAAAGTAGATTTCAGAGAAAAGAATATTACTAAGTATGAAGAGAGTTACTCCATAATGAAAGAGAGGTGATTCATTAAAGGGACATAATGATATTTATGAACCTATTAACAGTTTCATACCTGAAACAAAACTTATAAAACTAAAGGAAAAAAAAAAAACTATAGGGGAAAAAATCCTTTTGTTTTAAATTTAACTTAAATACAGTTTTACTATGTTGAGTCACATTCCTGAAAATCTGCTGGCATCTTTTCTAGGTAAATAATACATTCAATAAAAAGCAGTTCCCGACTAGCATTACCTTCTCATTAACTGCCAAACCAAGGCCAAGGTTAGAGTACGGTTTCCCTCATTGAGATCTTGTCCAGCAATGCCAACCAGAGAAAATTTGGCTTGATTCTTTCCCAGTTCCACTGCATAGTTACAATTCTCAAGCTGTTAATGAGCAGGAAGGAAAACAATCTTAATTGTTATCATCTCCATGGTGACAAATACCAGCTAAAATAAGATAGTAAAAATGAATACACAAAATGAAATAATTATGGCAAGATAGAATGATTTCTCAAGTCTTGTCTCATTCTTTAATTATAGGACTCGAAATTGGTCAAAGAATTTTCTATCTTTTCTTAAAAAGAGCCTCTCACTCTCACCAAAAAATATTTATGAGTCCTCTAAGTCCAAAATGGAAATGAGTTTATTATTATGAACATTTTCAAGGCTCTATAGCATCATATTAGTAGAGAGTCATGCTCATCTACCTGTCCAAATATTCCCCAAGTAGCTGAATGTGTGCGGAATGACATGGGGAATCTGGACTCTCCATTTTGTATGCACACGGTGGACAGACTTGTGGGACAGATATTCCTGTGGCTATGCGCGCATCATTAAGAGTCACAGGAATGAGAAATGGTGAGAAATATTTGTACAAACCCCACTGCTGCTTTTACAAACAGTGTGTTCCCACTGTGTTGAAGAAGACAAACTATTTGTACAAGTCCAACTGTCAGTACAAAGCCCCACGTCTTTAGAAAATTAGAATGAGGATCCTGCTGGGGGAAAGCAATCCTGTCGCTCTGCTTGCTCTAATTATCTTAATTAGAATTTTTACATCATAATGTTTGAAGACACCCAGCATGGAATTATAAATAAGTAATCAACTGAAATAATGAACTCACTTTAATAAAACCATTCAGGTTTCTGACTGCTGTACTATAAATTTAATCCCTGGATAGACATTACTTAGCTAAGTTTGGCCTCCTGGTAGGTATTTCCAGGATCCTCTCACAGCCTTCTGGAACACCAGAAGAGTCACTGCTTACCTTCTTCATATTGCCCCCCAATTTGGGATATGGTGGTTTGTTTACTCTGTTCCAATCAACAGGGACTTTAATCTTTTCATAGAGCTGAAAGATGACTAGGGCATCTGATAAGTCACTGAAAAAAAACAAACAAAAAAGAATTCTCAGACATCATTTATCAAGGTCCTAAAGTGGAGGAAGGCCCTCCCTTACCTATTAATTAGCTCAAGGGACATTCGCAACACTGGTATGAGGCATTCCATCTTCAGAGGTGCAGAAACTCTGACTCAAACATTAGGGGAACTTAAGGTGTCCCCCAGGTGTGACTACCTTGCTCCTGTAGCCAAAACATAACTGCCTCCAGGAAAAGGAATACAGCTCTTATCAATGGAATAGGAGGCACTTAACCACATTTGTTTTGCCTGCTTGTGACATCATCACCTCAAAAATGTAGTGCATTTGTCCTTTTACTGAGATTATGATTTGCTGCTAAGCACACAAGGATTATGTATCAAAGTGGATTTCTCAGCTGAATATCTGGCATCTGCAGTTTACTTTCCTATCTTCATCAAGGACAATTGCACCTCATTGTGGTACTTGAAATCTTGAGGAACTTTCATGGTGTCAGTGTCTCACCTTAAAGGAGTCCCCAAATACTATTACCTGTACAAATGATTGACTCGAGGGTTAATGCCCAAGGAGTTCATCCAGTTCCTAAATGTCCGCTCTTCTCTCGTCTCACCTAAATTAATGAAGACTGGTTATCTTTCAGGCCTTCAGAAAATATAAAAACCTAATGAATTCAGATGAGAGTTGCTATTCTGGGCTAGTTATTTTTTTCCATTTCAAATCAACAAATATTTCCCAAGTATCTATTAGCAGTATGCAGGATCCTATGTAGGGAAATCTTATAGATTAGCTCTCAAAGGCTAACATTCTTTCTGGAAAAACAAGACTTTAGGCATCAAAGAGAAATCGTGATGCTACAGGGCTAACATATGAGACAGATATATTTGTAATCTGAGTTGAGAAGGAAAGAATTTGGGCTAAATTTGGAGGGAGTGGAACTTGGACTTCACCTTAAGGGTTTGTAAAATCTGATAGTGAAAAGGAAAGAGTAGTAGATGGGAGGGGGGCACTTATAAGGAGCTGGAGCTAAAGCAAGCAAATAGGAATCCAAAGTGAGTGATAGGCACGGTCTGTTTTAAAACCATTAGAAACTGATTTTCAGAAATCCATGCTGTACAGTACACAGAGATAGGCTGTCTGGTGACTGAAACCAGAATCAGGGCTCTTATAAATGTCAGGTAGCAGATTTTTGTTAATATATTAGACAATGTCAGTCATTATGTTTTTTTTTATTACTATCATAAATTCTTGAGCAAGGCAGAGATCTAATGAAAGCAGTGCTATGATATATCTGGCAGCAGTGTGCGGAATTACTGGAAGGCAATATGCATTTCAATTGAGCACACAGAGGGGATAGTGTTTGACATAGCATATGGGCACATTCAATGCATGATGAATGGAGGAAAAGGCCCTTCAGACCTATTGGAATAGTTGGTGTGTGACTTAAAGTCCAGAGGAGCAGAAAGGAAAAATAATCTAAAAGTTACTCCATAGGAAAAAATATTAGCATTTGCTGATTCGATAGATTTAAGAGTGAAGAAGAGGAAGATATTAAAGTGGAATCCAGGGTTTTCAGCTTTGGAGAAAGAATAGGAAAAAAAAAAAGAGGCACGACTAATGGATAATGGAGAATTTCTACAGGAGAGCTGATGGCATGGTGGGGGTAGGATAGAAAGACAATGGGGATAAGAGAAGTGATGATCAATTTTGTATTGAATGTACTGAATTTCAAGTGATAGTGAAGGACCCAAAAAGGGCTATTTTAGAGGCAGCTGGAAATGGGTGATTAGAGGATAGATAGTAGTCAACAATGCCTCTGAATCTCTGACCATGATTTATCAAATCATACAAATGCAGCAGTTGGATCATGGATTGATGGTGCATTTCCAGTTGGAGTAAACATTGCAGAAAAGGATCAACCTTAAATCTGTTATTGCTTTGTTAATATTAATTTAATGTTAATTCTCTCTTGATTTTTCTATCCCAATACTGAGATTAGTTGATGCTGGAAGGAAAAAAAGTAAACATCTCTGGCACTAGGTATTAACTAAAGCTATATGTTTTTATTCAAACATGGGGCATTAACTTCCAAAATATAATTGTCATGGATTCTGCCTCAAAATATGATTCCCTGCTCTCCATAATTCATTCCAAAGAAACAAAACAAAACAAAAACCTCAGTGAGCTCCTCCTAGCTTAAGTTAAGTATCTCTTACAGATGATAAGTGGCTGCAATTTCTTGCTTCTAGGAATTAACACTCAGTCCATTAAGTACATAAATTAGGTTTTTGGACCTTAGAATTTATTTCATTTGATAATTAAATGCATTGTCTTCCCTAAAACATTTAATTCTGATAATGGATGGAGCTTATGTATAATGGATGTGATATAATGGTATTTGATTATTCCTGCTTGGTTGTAATTGACTTGATTAATCTATTTATTCTCTTTGTTATGTACCAGAGAATTGATGACCTGTTTGCAAATCTTCCCTCAGTGTGTGAGGGGTTTTTATTTGCTTGTGAGATGATTCTGAATTGCCTTTGAACTAGACTTGCAAATATTTCCCCAAACTCTTAAGCAACTGGTTTCCAGTACCTTCGAGTGCCCCCCAGTCAATATCTTGGTTCTCTGGTTTGTGCAGGGCAGGGTATCTGTTAAAGAGGTTGGCAATGAAAGCCAAGTTCAACTTGGGGTTTCCTCGAACAACATCTGTGGCTGTGACAAACTGCCGGCAGCCTAGCCTCTCCGCCTGTTGCAACATACATTCTGCCCTCTGGACGTCATCCTTTTCCTGCAATGAGAAAGGACGAGGCTGGTCAGGGCTCTTCCACAACAAAGCAGGCATGAACAACATGAAAATAACTGTGACTCTTATAAGTGTTTGATACACACTCAGACACTTAACAACAACAAATTATTACTTATAGTCACCTGAACCAAAATCAAAAAGTCACAGTAAAAAGAACCTTAGAGGGCCTCCCTGGTGGCGCAGTGGTTGAGTGCTGGGTTGCAAAGCTGCCCGAGGCCTCCGTGGCGCCGGTTCGATCCCCGGCTGCTCCCCGGCCACCTGAGGAGGTCCCACATGGTGCGCAGAACTCTCCTGCTGTCCTCTGCTCCCCTCAGCAGTGTACTTTGGTCCTTCTGCCTGCTCTGCTCCCGCTCTGGCTCTGGTGAATACTCTCACCCTCCCGTGCTTCTGACTGTACCCAAGTGCTTGCATAAATAAATAAATAAATAAATCTTAAAAAAAAAAAAAAAGAACCTTAGAATTTAAGTAATTGAATCCTTTTGTTTCCATTTAGGACCATTTCAAATGCTGTCTTGCTTTTAAAGAGTTTCAGTAAGGTTCTACAATATTATCATTTGTGCTGGCATTAATTCTTTTCAATGATTAAACTTACATTGTAATTTTTTGTTGTACAGACTTCATGACATTTTGTTTACCAAAAAATATTTATTGAGTTATAAATTATATTCCTTTACAACCATCTTTTCCACACCAAGAATGTATACTTGCAACTCAAATAAAATAAACATGATCAGTAACACAAGCTATACACTATTGTTGGTAAATATATCAGTTTGGTTCTTGTAGACTTCAGACTGAGAAACACTCACTGAAGATATTAAAGGCCCACTCAAATAGTTCTAGACAATCTCCAATCCTATGCAGCAGAGAAGACTATAGTTTTATTGAAATATGGTCCACTGTCTTTAAAGCTCTTTCAAAAAATTGGTGAAACCACCAATTTTCAGAAAGCTAAACTTCAAATGAAGTACTTCTTTTTTTAAAAAAAGATTTATTTATTTATACAAGCACTGGGTACAGTCAGAAGCGCGAGAGGGTGAGAGAATTCACCAGATCAAGAGCGGGGAACAGAACAGGCAGACCCACGAAACACAATGCTGAGGGGAGCAGTGGGCACGGCAGGAGAGGTCTGCGCGCCATGTGGGACCCTCACCGGCAGGCGGGGATCGAACTGGCGCTGCAGAGGCTGCAGGCAGCTTTGCAGCCCAGCGCTCAACCGCTGCTCCACCAGGGCAGGCCCACAAAGTACTTGTTAATATGATGCCTTATTAGGAAACACTATACAGTATACCTTTCATGTATTTTGCTTCTCATTCAGAAATTAGTTAACTTTTATAATATTAACTCACTGGATTTAATGCTAATAAAATTAAATGAGGCACAAAAATGGGTAAGGCAAATTCTCAAGATCAATACTGAAGTGTCAGAAGTCTAGGCAAAATGACCTTCTAACATTCAGACACATATTGTGCCTATTGTTTTAAGGAGACTTGCAGATACTTTTAAGAACTCAGGATCTTTCCCAGTCTTTTTCTCCTCATTGTCTTCTTATTAGTGTAGTAAGGCAGGGTTGCGACTGGGTGAATTTTGGAGCCTTGAATCAAAAACTTCCATTAATCTGTCATATGATCTGGGACATATGAACTCATCCCTTACAATCATAGTTTTTCATTGCTATAGTGAGAATTTACTTGTGCAAACATCCCATCCATTTCCAGAAATAATATTCAGGTACCTAGAAATGGAATGGAAATACTAACACTTCTTGGTGTTGTAGAGCCTATTAAATGATTGATAAACATGAGTACCTCGCATGGTGTATGGTATTTAATTAACATTAGTTTCTTTTTTACTTAATGTTGATTTCCAGACTCATTTTCCCACAATTATTATCCAGAAATGTTAACAGCTTTAACAGGGCTTTCTGCAGAGATGCCACTTATGGGACCCCAGAGTCAGGTCCATTCAAGTAATGGAACTGCCAAGGGGAAGGAAGCATTGCAAGCTCGAAACACAACTTGGTACGTTGTCTTACCCTTAGTCCAGACATGTCAATAACAACAGCAGGAATACCTTCTTCATCTCCTTTTGGAGCCACCTGTTCAAGCAGGTGGTAATATGCTTTTGAATCCTGTGAGAAATTAAGGAATTACAATTATGAAATGGCATAGCTAATCACACATTTAGCACAGTTTTCCAAAAGCAAACATATTTTATTTTTTATTTGACTATCATTCAAGAAAAAAATTTAATTAACAAAGCTGGATATAGTTATTTATTTGAATTTTTTATTTGTCTGTTTACAAATTATATTTGCCTTTCTTTTCAAAAGGAGTATAACAAAAGCACAGGACATACACAAAAGGCAACTCAAAGAAGCAAATGCTATTCTGTTGTCCTTAGGAGAGAATTTATTTACACATATTAAATTGTATACAGGAAAATATATATACCTTCATATTGCTGTAGAAGTCAGTCAGCTAATGTTTAATTAAAAAAAAAAGTGACAAAAAGGAAGTAGAAGTTTAAAGCAGAGTTTAAAAATACATTCAAACGGACAATCAGCAAAAGAAAGATTCCAAAGACAGAAAGTGGAAGCATTAACAAGCAGTCTCCGTGTAAAAGGAGAGATATTACAATAAGTGCATTTAATGTTCACCTACAAGCCAGGAAAAATGGTTAAATTTAGTTACAGCAGATTGGATATAGACATTTAATTCTCATGCTTTCTTAGATTCTGGAAATATGCTTAATGACAAAAAGAATTCTCAGAATGGTAAGTCTTAAAATTATAAATGTATTCCCATTCAATGAAAGCATATACATTTTTCAGTTAATTTGTTTAAGTCTAAAGATTTTTTAATTTCTCTTAAAGACTGAAAAATAACTGTTTCTGTGCTTTGAAACTGGGTAGGGCCTGGTAAGAGCAGAGGTAAGTTCACTGCTTGTGATGTTAGACTGATGAGACAAAGAATACCAGTCACTGATGTTACACCTGGGAAAATGATTTTCGTCTCTTTTCTTTCTACTATCTCCTCCTCATACTTTCCTTTTCTTTTTTTTTTTTTTAATTAATAAATTTTATTTTTATATTCCCCATACAATTGCAATCCCCCCATTCTGACCCCATCCCTCCCCTCCCGCCCCCCACCCTCCAAAAAGTGTCTCTGGTTCATAGTTTTTGTTGATTTTGATTTTCACTTTCTTATAGTTATTCATTTTCCTGGTCCCTTATTTAAGTTTTCTAGATCCCTGCTATGAGTGAGACCATCCGGTATTTTTCTTTTTCTTTTTGGCTTATTTCACTGAGCATGATCCCTTCCAGCATCATCCATGTTGCTGCAAATTGCATGTGTTTATCTTTTTTGAATGCTGAGTAATATTCCATGGTATATATGTACCACATCTTCTTGATCCAGTCATCTATTTTTGGACATTTGGGTTGTTTCCAAAGCTTAGCTATTGTAAACAGTGCTGCCATAAACATAGGGGTGCAGGTGTTCTTTGGAATTGATGTTTCTGTGTTCTTTGGGTAAACACCTAGGAGTGGAATTGCTGGATCCTGTGGAAGCTCTATGCTTAGTAGGTCCAGAAATCTCCACACAGCTCTCCATAGTGGTTGGACCAGTTTGCACTCCCACAAACAGTGCAGAAGAGTTCCTTTTTCTCCACAACCTCGCCAACATTTGTTGTTGCTAGTTTTTTTAATATGTGCCATTCTCACTGGTGTAAGATTCCTCCCCATACTTTTCATTGTCATTATTTTTAAATCAGTGAAAGTTCCATGCTGTGTTAGGCACCAATACCATCTGCTTACCATGTGTTAAGAGTCACCTTATTACATCTGTCCCTAATAAACTTTTCTCACTCTAGTATGGGCATCCTCCCACCTTTGCCCACCATGTGTGATTTGAGGGCATCTCCCAAAGTTTCTGGATGTTCAGACACCCCTGTGACCCTAGTTGGGATATAGCTGCTCTCTGGGAACAGGCACAGGCTATAGGAGTGCTCAGCTTGGACTTCCTATCACATACAGATACTGCGCAAGCCAAAATGGTTATTATTCCACAGAACACAGCCATTTAATGGTGGAAAATTAAATAAATTTGTGGTTCGGGTCAAGCAGCCTAATTGTGGCTGAAAAGTTTGAAAATTTTGGCTGAAACAATTATAGAGAAACTGTTCCACACAAAGGGGACATAATGCCGCCCTGTCCTATTAAATCCTGGTTTGGTCAGTGGAGCTGGAAGAATGTTTCAAACAAAAGAAAGCTGTGTAGTTAGAAAAAAGAATTTGACATTATTATTTAGGTCCTAAAGACTGAGGGACTTTCCATCTAGAAGCTTCATTCTAACTGGCACTGGGCCTGGCAAGACCCTGAGTTCTAATATAAAGGTCAGTGAGTTCACAGCAGGGGAAAACTGTCATTCTAAGAAATATAGAAGCCTGGGTTGACTACTGGTGTCATGTAACCTTTCCTTTGACTTTCTCTTTGCATAAAATTTCATTAACTTTTGAGAAAATGGAGTCTGAAATGTTTTTCTTAGGTTGCCTCCCAGCATCCTTAACCATCAACTGCTAGGGACTGCCTTCTGACATTCCTTCCTGCTCCTTAAACTGCCTCTGTCATCAACATCAGTAGCTGTTCCTTTCACCTAGAAAATGAGACTACCTGCTTCCCTCAGCCTTTCCCTTTCTGGATCTTTGTGGTAGGACTGTCTCTGCATCTTCCACATGCTCTGGAGTAAAGTCTCTTCACAGGGGCTTTCCAGAACCATTATCTTTGTAAAAATTACTCTGGTTTCTACAAATGAAAAACTTGCAAGATATCCATGAGTTGTCTGAGAGAGGCAGTACAGTAAGGGGATCAAGTATGTGGGACTGACTTCTGGGTTTGTATCCTGACCCCAGTCCCCAATTACGTGAACTTGAACAAGTTACTTAATTTTCTTTCCTCAATTTCCTTATCTGTAAAATGAGAAAATAATTCATATCTCATCGGTTTGGTGTGTGAGGATTAAATGAGTCAAAAACTTGTACAAAGCAGTCAGAACAATGTCTAGTATGCAGTAGACATCATGTTTGTTAGTTATTAGTGTAATTAAAAGAGTGCTCATTTAATTTTTTCAAGGAAATCCTCATGTTTTCCTTTATAGAATCAACCACAATATAGTCCTCTTCTCTATTTAAAAAACAGTTGCATCTCTTGCCTTCCCTTTGTTTCACCCTCATCTCTCCTCTGAATATTGAAACTCTAAGCGCTTCCAGAGCTCGGCCATGATGGTGCTGCAGGAGGCATGCGAGGCCTACCTGGTGGGGCTCTTTGAGGACACCAACCTGTGCGCCATCCACGCCAAGCGTGTCACCATCATGCCATAGAATCCAGCTGGCGCGCCGCATCCGCGGGGAGAGGGCGTAAACCTGTCTCAGTGCTGATATAATTTAACTCCTCTCCCTTTGAAGCTGCATAGTAGTTGAACAGATCTGTGTGTGGCCAGCCTTAGAGCTTCAAGGGACTCCAGGGCAGGGAGCAGCTGGAAAACAGCACCAGTCTCACTCAAACTACCCAGTCAGCTTCAGAAGTGCCCTGGCCAGTATCTGTGTTTTCTTCATTCCTGCCCCAATTCCTGTTCTCGCTGCAGTTACTTAAACAAACGACACTTTTCCTACCTTGATGTCGGTACTGAAGTTGGTGATTTTGCCACAGCCTGCATTTTCCAGGTGATAATTAGCCCATCTCAGCAGGAGTTCTTCTGGAGAGAGTTTCATCAGATCTTCCAGGCTCTCCCCTTCTCTCAAAAGAGCAACCAGAACTGAAGGACAAAACCCAAAGAAAAACAAATACAGGGGTTATTTGGGAGAATGTGTTATAATTTTAACTGAACTCTGCTAGAAAGCCATGACATTCTCTCTCCAGGGTAAAGGTGTATCTGACTGTTCCCATTCTTTAAAACAGGCATAAGGTACTGTGAGCTTATTTGCTGTCCCCATATTTCAGATGGGGAAGACAAGGCACCAGTAGATCTCAATGTTACATATGCCTCTGAATACTGTGGGTGAGGATCAGAAATAGCAAAGATTATTAGCTCTGAATACTCCGCTAGGGCTGCCAAAGCACATTTCCTGCTGTGATAACATTTTTGCTCTAAAAGATCAATTTTGTAATAGTGGCAATGTCCTCTTGTCTATTCCCATTGGTGCTTTATATTTCAAATGCTTACCTACATATTTATAGCATCTCCAAAGCATAATCAACTCTGTCTCTATATTTCCCCAGATGAATAAATACTTTTTTGCTCAGCTAGAGGTTTAGCTGAGGTCATTATTTGCAAATCAATATTATTTCTTGTGAGTTCTAAGTTCCCTATTTGCTTTTTGTCCTTCTTTATATTATATTTAATATATTGGTTTTAAAGTGGTACTTCAGGATTCTTCACTGGTTACTGTGATTTGGACATATAAATAAAAGTGACTATCAGTCAGTTTGTCTATCTATCTGATTAGAATATGGCTATAGAGTTCATATTGGTAAAATCTGTACCTGAAAATTTAAGGTAACATTGTTTTTTTTTAAATGATGCTTATCAACACCTGCCTCTTCTGTCTAAAAAATAGGGCTGTAATTGGGCCTCCTTGGTGGCGTAGGCGGTTGAGCACAGCGCTGTGAAGCTGTCTGCAGCCTCTGCAGTGCCGGTTCGATCCCCGCCGGCCGCAGAGCAACCCACATGGCACAGCAGACCTTTCCTGCCTTGTCCACTGCTCCCCTCAGCAGTGTATTTCAGTCAGTCTGCCTGTAATGTTCCCCGCTCTGTCTCTGGTGAATCCTCTCACCCTCCCACACATCTGACCTATACCCTGGTTCTTGTATAAATAAATAAAATCTTAAAAAAAAAAAATGGGGCTGTAATTGTTTAAATGCAGTGAAGCTGCCGAGAAAAGATAAAGACTGAAAGCAACGTGCTTAGTTGAGAACACTGAAACCCCAATCATTTTCTAGAGTTTCAGTAAGAAATAAACCAGGGCCTCCCTGGTGGCTCAAGGGGTTAAGACGCAACCTATGAAGCTATCCGCAGCCACTGCAGCACGAGTTTAATACCCGGCCGGGTGGGGAGCTACCCACATGATGCAGCAGACCTCTCCTGACTTGCCCACTGCTCCCCTCAGCAGTGTACTTCAGTCAGTTTGCCTGTTCTGTTCCTCACTCTGTCTCTGGTGAATCCTCTCATCCCCACACCTCTGGCCTGTACCCCCAGTTCTGGTATGCATAAATAAATAAATCTTTAAAAAAAAAAGAAATAAACCAAGTTTCTCTTAAAATGGAGGAATCACTGCAGTGAGGTGAATCACTTCAAAAAATACAAGTTGAAATAGTCTACTAAGTTATATATAAAGTATAAGTTATATATAAGTTATATATAAAGTATCCAAATACAGAGTGAATTTATAAAAGCTCTTAAGGTTGGAGTCCCAGGCAGCTAGACTGAGCTATAGGTACTAATCGAGCATTATTATTAGACTGTGTTCTTAAAAAGCTTTTGCTCCGTCCTCTACAAAAGTCTGATCAGTGTGAATAGAATCTGTTACATTAACACAATAGCCTCAAAGTAACTAGTAGTTTTCAAAAATGGAGGATTCTGAGCTTAACTATTCTTGACATTTTCCAGCAATAGGCCACAAAACATGCATTAATAAAAAGTCACACCATTAATGTTTGAGGCTTTACTGTACCTTCATTTCTGCTGAGTTCAATGTCAGCAAACAACCCAATTTTGATGACCTGCCACAAAAGTCCCAGCACCAGGTAAGGCTTTCCCTCTTTTAAGTCCTCAGCCCCTATGTTCACCACGTGGCACCCTATGGCTGAGGCAGAGTTCAGAGCCAGGTTCAAATTCTCCTAAAAGACAAAACATATGCAAGTTTTTTTCTTGATGCAGATAGTAAGTGATGATTACTGATGGGCAGGAGCAACAATGTTTTCCCACTGGAAGGTTCCCAGGTCTAGAAGCATGTTGCAATTGCTTTTATCAATAAGTAATTACTGGAAGAGAAATCCTGAAACCCAGACATTGGACTTGTGCAGTGAACTCAACCAAACCAACACCTGGAATTGAAGGCCTGTTCTAGTCAGGATGAAGCTCATTATATTTTTTCCATCTTGTTCTGTGATGGTGCTTACATATTCAATATCTCCATCAGGCAGAATATAGGTGGCACCTTTAAGTTTAGTCATTGTCTTGTCACAACTATCATTAGTTACACATTTGCTGATGTAAATCAGGGTCAATGTAGAGTAACAGAAAAACTGTTGACTTGCAAATTAGATATAATGGAATGAGAAAGTTACTAATCCTATTCCTGGGAAAGATAGTAGTTTTTACTAGGACAATTTATTGACTATCCATAATATCTAGGGAATTTGAGTACAAACACAAACATGTCTGTGCACATACACAGGTATAGATTATATGTTCTTATAACTAGCCAGAGTGTGTGTAATATAATTCACATACATTGTAATAGGTCATTGAAATTTCCAGTCTAGAATCTATATACTACTCTTGGGTCCTCAAAGGAGAAGATATCAGAGTCAGAGATGCACAGAAATTGTTTGTTTTTTTTTTAATGACAAATTAAAAACAAAACAAAGTACAGTCCAGTGAATTGGAAAGGGAGCAAAAGAAAAGTGGGTTTTTGTCCAAGAGTAGAGTACAAACGATTAGTAAAAAGTATTGCTTCTACTTGTGACCATGATCAGGAGTAAATTTGACGTTAAGTGCATTCATATATGTTTAATCATTACTCCCACTTTAGTTACCACTTCCCTTTTTAAAAGGGAAGTGGCCTCGATCCAAAGAGAACATAACATATTGTTCATGAGACATGGTTTCTGAGCAAGGGAATTACATTAAAATACTGAAACATAATGCAGAAATACAGTTTACTTACTACTAGTTACTGTTCTAGTTAATCAATAAATTGAAGGACTGAAAGCAAGTGGCTGTGACACCACAGTGAAGGTCGTCAGAGCACTTCCTGTTTCCACCCCCTCTCTTCTTAAAAAGGCTTACTTATCTTTTCAGCTAAAATGCTGATATTTGGCATCTGTTCAAAGATAAATTGCTAGGGAAATTTTGAGTTAAAACTTAGCCAGTTTGAATCATTATTCATAAGTGGCCAGAACAAAGAATGTCCCAACTACGAACACTCCATCAGCATGCCACCCTGCTATATTAATAAAGACACAACAGGTAAGTGTCCCTATATGCCCACAAGTCATGACTTCACCAGCCCATAACCTGGAGTTTGGGCTGATGTCTGAAAAAGGCTGACTCAGCAGTCAAGGTACGAACTCATTCTAAGCACAATCCTGTATTAAAGTAATAGAAGGAAGATATACCTGAATAGTGAAAGGAGTGAGTTTCTTTTTGTTGATGGTTCTTTCATCAATTGTGTCTGGAACTGAAAGGTTGATCATTTTACTGAAAGAGAAATAATTCAATTTAAAAAAGTAGACTTTTGGGGCCTCCCCGGTGGTGCAGTGGGTTGAGCATAGTGCTGTGAAGCTGTCCGCAGCCTCTGCAGCGTGGGTTCAATTACCGGCTGGCCAGGGAGCTACCCACATGGCGCAGCAGACCTCTCCTGTCTCGCCCGCTGCTCCCCTCAGCAGTGTATTTCAGTCAGTCTGCCTGTTCTGTTTCCCACTCTGTCTCTGGTAAATCCTCTCACCCCCCGCATCTCTGGCCTATAGCCCAGCTCTTGTATGCATAAATAAATAAATCTTTTCCAAAAAAAGTAGACTTTTGGATATATAGCCCAGTACCAACTCAGCAATGGTTTAAACTGTAGTGGAGGGCCTCCCCGGTGGCGCAGCGGTTGAGCGCTGGGTTGTGAAGCTCCCCGCGGCCTCTGCGGCGCCGGTTCGATCCCCGGCTGCTCCCCAGCCACCAGAGGAGGGTCCCACATGGCGCGCAGACCTCTCCTGCTGCCCGCTGCTCCCCTCAGCAGTGTACTTCGGTCCTTCTGCCTGCTCTGCTCCCCGCTCTGGCTCTGGTGAATTCTCTCAACCCTCCCGCGCTTCTGACTGTACCCAGTGCTTGTATAAATAAATAAATAAATCTTTTATAAAAAAAAAATAAAAAAAAAAAAATAAACTGTAGTGGAGCAAAAAAAATATCTTTAGGTTACTCCCACTTTGTTTAAAGAAATGAAGTTAAAAAAAAAATCCAAAAGAACAAAAAAAACAAAGGCTAGTAATAAATCTGTGATTCTTTTTCTTAATGAGAAATCAATATTAACACACTTTCCTAACAATTTTAAGCAACTCCCCTCTCTTTGTGGCTGTTTTTTAAAAATATATTTCCATAAATTTGTTTTGTTTACGTGTATGTGTGTACAGATATTTAATAAAAGGTACTTTACTGCAATTTAGGCAAAACAACTTTAAAGTTACCATTTGGAAACTATTAAACTAGTATTAGTTAACTAGAAACTCTGACATGGTAGGGAGGTGGTGTGATTTTAAAAGTATAAGATGCCCCTGCCCTTATAAAGCTTATAGTCAAATAACATAAACAAAATATATGAACATGAACAGTTACATGAAAGATCAAAGCAGAATATTATAATGGCTCCCAAAGTATTATAAACATTATATCCTTTAAAAATTCAATGAAGAGAGAGAGTACTGGGGGTTAGGATAGATGAGAAAATTTTATGGTAATTGGATTTCAATGGGAGGAAAGGATAGGGACGGAGCAGTCTCTCAAAAACAAAATAAAAGGCAAAGCCACAGTTTTCAATTACAATGGGGTGGGGATAGGGTTCAAAGTCTTGCCCATCATCCTTCCTTTTAACTCCTGAGCCCACCTGGCATTGGGCATTGCAAACCTCCTCACTTATACCATGTCTTACAGTGGCAGAGAAGCTGGGAAAGCAAAGCTCCAAGAGGCATTTCCAAAGAAACCATCCTGAACTGAATTGTGACAGACTACAGAGAACACATTCATCCTTACCCAGGTGTCCCGGTACAGTTATATATTTCTGTGTATCATTCAAAAGTCCCTCTGCTTAAGGACTTTCATTGCATTGCTTCACTTACCGTGCTAATATGTACTCTCATGATAAGCCATGTTCAGATGAAGCAAAACGGCATGTATTCCCAAAAAAGCTTTTGATTTTGTATTATTATATCTCTAGCTAATTTATGTTTGTCTATATTGTGCATCCCTCTCCTTCAACCAAGCAACAGTAGTTTTACCTTTCTCATAAGCTGTTTTTGAAATTAGTTTGCTCTCTGAGACCTGCCAAGTGAAAGTCCAGAAAAGTATTTCAGATCTAGCTGAGCACTGAAGGAAGTTGGACTGGGATAAATACAATAAATTGTCAGTATTGCAGAAAATTCGAGAGAAAGCTTTGGAAACTAATAAAAGAAATGTTATTTACCAAAGGACAATGCCATCTCCAACAGCATTAAAGAGATCATTCGTGTTTGGATTCATTGGGATTACATGTTGACAATCGGGGTCATTTTCCAGGGCTTTATTTATCCAGTTGACAAAGGCATACTTCTCTTCCTCTGCAAGTAGATGATTAAAAGGATTTATTTGCAAAGTGAAAATAAGATATAAGCAAAATCATACACGCGGGTCTTAGATTCTCATACACAGGAAAACAACACAAGGTTATTTGGTCTATTATCCTATCATCCCACATTTATTGAAGTGTTGCATTACATTCTTACTTCAACTAAAGAATAAATTAAAAAAGAAAAAAAAGAAAAATTACAGCTGACTTGGGACTATTCACTCTAGGCTGTAAAACATACAAGTCAGCATATCCAGAAGACATACTTTCAAGTGTATTATATTTAAAATAAATATATACTTACATCTATATTTAGATGTAAATATATATAAACTGCATTTTATTTATAAATATAAAGGTTAAATATGAATATGACTAATGCTTACAGAATAAAACTCAGGACTCTGCCTTTAGCTCTGCTGGTTTAAATGTGGAACGATCATAGGCAATCCTTGCAAATCGCTGAGCTTCTTAATATAATTATGATATAATCATAATTTACGCATTCAATATATAAATTTTTCTTTCTCATCAGTAATGCTGCCAAATGTTGATTTTAAAAATTTTATAAAACCTCAAGTTATGCCTTATAGCCCAACACATTGCTTCCCAAACCCATGTCACAGAAAACAATAGTGTCCCTCAAAAGAATCCTGTCACAAAAATTTGTGAAACACTGAGTAGCATATATTGTCTTTATGATTCAGTATAAATAATTATATAGCAAAAAGCTCTGAAAATTTCTGTCTTAAAAAACAAAAGACTAAACTTTGTCTTAGCAATTGTAGATAGCACTTAACCATGAATTTATCTTTAAGATTAACTAGCATTTTGTAGAACTCAGTTTGGAATTGTTGATTTACTGTAGTGTTTGAGCTGTTAGAAATTTCCATCAAGGCTGTTAGATGGCAGTCTTCAGAATAAACACACAACTCTCTTCAAATCAATGAAAACCTTTTTTTTGACCATTCAGCAGGCATTAAGAATAATCATTAAGTCTGGAGGTAGAAGTTTGAGTAGCTAATTTTGTCCATAAGATTTACAAAGGAATTTTGGCAGCCTTTAAATGAATTTTGTAAATGAAGATAAGATTATTTGATATTGGACACTACTTGGAGCTAGAACTGCTTTTCCCATTTTGTATTCTGGTCTACTTATGCCCAAGAAAACAGTGTTGGTTCCTGCCTTTCTTTACACTCCTTACATTTAATAATGGTTTTAAAACGTAACCCCAGAAGGCAGATATATTTCCTTTCTGTAAGGGCCCCTCTCTTTCTACCCTCATTTCTCTCCTCATCTCAACACCCTCTCCACTTGCACTTACACCCATTAGTCCAAACTTACCTGAATAGGAATGTTGGGTGCCAACACTAGACTGCTCAGAAGTGCCTCCAATCGCACAAATCCCTTCCTTCTTATTAATTGCTTTTCTAAAGGTCTTGGCAACCTCTGTGCTTTTCAGGCCCTGAAAAACCTGCAAAATTATAATGTATCTTTAGAAATGCAATCTGTGATCAAAGGAAAGAATATGTAATGTTGAATCAAGGAGGGTGAAATGTATTGTACATATTTTTTAAAACAGACTCAAAGTTCAAGTTTCAAATGCTTCTCTGTATTTTGTATCATGCGTACCTTCATAAACTCATCAAAGCTGATCTTTCCATCCTGGTGCAGATCACCTGTAGCCATTAGGTTTTCTGTAATTTCTCTCACTCTGTAACCAGGCAGAGGCAAGCAAGCAGCCTTGAATAAGTCATTCAACTCATTGCAGCTGATGTACCCACTGCCATCAGTATCTGGAAGGCAAATGACAGCTGAAGTTTCAGGGCAATACAGGTAATAGCAGGAAAACAGGTGAGAAAAGGAGACTGGGGGTGTGGGGTTAGGGGAGGATATCACTCAGGAGTCTCAGCATGACCCGATGCAAGAGCGGGAATCTCACCAGAAGTCTGCTGCTATTAGGTGTGAATCTTCCAGTGTGGAAGAATTGTAATTCCAAAACAGAGCTTCTGGCAACAGATTTTGAAAGGACTCTTTTAAAAAAAAATTTATTTATACATTTTTTACATCATTGTTCATTTTTAAACAATGTTTGCTTTCCCTTACCCCCCAGGAGGAGTCCCCATAGAATTCCCTTCACCAGTGCACCCATGTATCATCATCTCAGTCCTCTGTGCTCCTCCCTCCCTCCCTCTGACCCCTCTCCCTCCAAATAAGACATCAGGGGGGAAAAAAACAATACAAAACACAATGCAACAAAACAAAAACAGACAATTATAAAGCAGAGATATCCTGCAGGGGAGGAGAAGGGAGATTTTGAAGGGACTCTTACAGAAAAATACGGGAAAATGAATCACAGGCTTAGAGAAAAAGAGTAAGAAAAAGTATGGCATAGTAACAAAGGAAACCAAAGAAAGCAGAGTAGGTATAAAAGATGAGACTTGGGGGCCGTTTCCAGGAAAAAGCTACAGTTGAGAAAAGTAATTTTACCATAGAGAAAGAAGTAATTTTCCTGAAGCATATCTTTCTTTTATTTTTATTGGGGTAAAAGCATATCTTTAAAAAATAAGTTCTCTCTAATTCCTTATTTAATCAATGCAACTTTATTCCTGTCATTTCCAATATTTTGCTCATGTTGGCACTGCATTGAATCTGTCCTGAAACTACTCAACAAAGCAGAGAATTGTGTCATTTCAGGTCCACTTACCAACTTTGGCAAATGCTTCTCTGAGCTCCAACATTTCTTCATCGGACACTGATCCTCTGGCCATTTTTTTTTTATTATTGCTTTAGACCACAGACCTATAGAAGGGTAGAGGAGAGAACATAAGGAATGATTTTTGAACATTTAAATCTTACAAGTACCACATTAAGAGACATGAAATAGTCCTTGTCTTAACCCTTTAAGTGATAGTTTCCAAATGGTCCTCACCAATCTCACCCTTCTGCGTTGCACAGAGACTGCTTCTCACCTCTGGAGAGGGAGCTTATTTCCTTCCCTTCAGTCTGCACTGATACTGTAACTGCTTTGAACATTTAGAAGGATGGAGAATCATGTCTGGAAATCTCTGCTTCCTTCCTTTTGGAACGCTCACTCTTGGGATACTCCCTCTTGGAAACTGTCATCTCTGAGACGCTTCAGCCACATGAAAAAGCCAATGGAAGAGAACTGGATGCTCTGGTTAACAGTCTCTGCTGTGTTTCCAGTCAACAGCCAGCACCACTGCCAGCCACCCGATTAGGCTATTTGGGACACTCCAAACTTTGTGAGCCCTCAGACGGTCAAAATCCCAGTCAATATCACATGGAGTAGAAGGTCCCCAGCTGTGTCCAATCAACCAACCATCTCAAGAGAGATGATAAAATGACTGTTGTTTTAAGTCATTAAACTTTGGAATAGCTTGTCACACAATGTACAACAACAACAAAAACTTTAACTTTTACATAAGTGTCTCTTTAGAGATATTTTTCTGCTCATATTTAAAATGAATATGTTTGCCTAAGCCAACAGATAAATTTCATGACTTCAAAGGGAATTATTAAATTCTCTAAATATTTAGAGAAGGAAAGGAAAGGAATTTGACCCCCTAATAATTCATAGACGGGAATCTGAGGGACTTTTTAGGAGTTCTCAGAAAGGCTAGATTTGTTGAGAAAATTATGTTAACACTGGAGTACTTTCCTTTCCCCTGTGTGTAATTGCTGCCCTCTAGTGGGTAGAAAGAGAATGTAACTGAAATGCATTCTATTCTCCATGCTCCTAGCTAATCTGTAACACCATGTTGGAAATAAGAGTACCATTAAAGCTTATTGGATTTCCTGGTTGGGTGGGAGTGTGGAGAATGCGATATTTTAACATATAATTATATTTGGGATATTTTAATGAAGCTACTAGTTAAAAAACATTTTAAATTTGTTCCCAGATGTTGTTAAATGGATTTCCTTTTCTATATTTTCACATGTACTTATAGTGGTGAACTTGTTCTTAGTGATAGCCAACAACCACACAGAAAAGCGAACAGTTTTAATACTTAAACCTATAGGCCAAAAATTCATTACAGTCAAATTTGCAAATCCATACTCATTATGACCATGCTGTCACATCAATGCTTCAAACTTTTGTTCCCCCAAGCATCCCTTTGTTAACAGAAACTTCACACATAAATAAAAGTAAACAAATAAAAATAACAACCCTAAGTAAGAAACTCTGGTTGAAAAACCCCAACGGTCCCCATGTCCTTCCCTATCCCAACTCCCTGTTACCCTATTTATTTACTGGTAGGAACTCCCAAAAACACTTTAAAAATTATAGATTTACATATAGCACTATATATATAATACACTATATAGCACTATATATAATACTAATATATTATAGCACTCTATATAGTGCTACATATATAATATACTATATATAATATAGTATATATAATATATTAATATTATATAATATTAATATAATAAAATATGTAATAAAATATAATATAATATTAATATATGTAGCACTATATAGAGTGCTATAATATATTTTAGTATATATTATATATTATATATTGCATATGTTATATAATATATTAGTATATTATATATTATATTGGTATAATATATATCAGTATATATTATATAGTGCTATATAGTATATACATTATGTATTGTATATTATAGATCTTATCTATAATATATTATATATTATACACATTATATATTATATATTATATATAATGTATGATATATATTATATGTATTGAATATTATATACTATACATATTATACATAATATAATATGTAATACATGATATATGCAATGTATAATATAATATATAATAATATACATTATAGATATTATATATAATATATAATACATATTATATGTAATATAATATGTATTATATACAATACTAATATATATAGCACTATATATAATATATTATACATTATATTATATATAACATACACCATGTATTATGCTATATATACTATTATACTGTATATACTATATAATATACTATATACTATACAATATACTATATAATTGTGTGCATATATACAATATATAGATATTTATATATAATATACATATGTTGTATGTATACCCACATTATATATTATTATTAGTAAAACTATTATTTGCCTTATATATCTAAAGTGGTATTGGTCCATTAGGTTCTTTGAAGGAAGGCAAAAACTGTTGTGGGTTGATTGTATAGTAAACACAGTGTCATTCCATATCACAACAACCCCAGAGATGGGTACTGGCTTCATCACTTTCTTGCCTTCTTCACTTGCCTTCCTTTTTTTTTTTTTTTTGTTTCTGTCTCGCATTCTATCTTCCTCCACCATTTCTTTCTCCCTTTTTTTCCTCTATCATGTCTTGTTCCAAACAATTTGAGCTAGGTTACAAAGATATATCCAAACCTAAGGGCTAGACCAATAAAATGTCACCAGGAGGAGGAGAAATAAGTACTGGCAAAATAAGATGAAGATAGGAAAGAGCTTGATATTTCAAATATATGGCAGAGACCATACATCTGCCTAGGACTGTTACAGAATGCATCTCTTGAAAGGAAGAGGAGCATGGCAGCACAGGAACAGGTACCATATCCCCTGCATACACTTATAAGCAACTGCCTTGGACTACAATTCCCTGCAGGCCATGAACTTCCTGAAAGGGCAGGGCAGCTGGGAAGGAGTGAGATGAGTATATAAATTGAGGTTTATAACAGAGGAGATATGTGGAGAAGAGACATGTAGGTGAGACACGTGGGAAGGCTGTTCCTTGGATGTTCAGAGACAATGGCAGCCGTCATCTTGACCTCCTGGTGGATTACATGGCACATTTTGAATTTTGGTTCTTACCTTCTGTCCCAGATCTCTGAGACTTGCCTAATCCCTTTCTTGTGGTTCCTGCTGGTATATTTCTTGGACTTGTTCTGGTGCTTTCTGGCCTCAGTTGCCCTGCTTTGGGCTGAACATAATTTTTTGAGTTTGATTGGGAATCTGTTACTTGAAATGCTTTCTTTTCTCTCTCTGCTCTCTGAACTTTCACACCAGTTAAAGATCTTTCACATGGGGGCCTCCCTGGTGGCACAGGGGTTAAAGTTTCAGTTCTATTAAGCTATCGCCAACCACTGCCAGCTGCTGCAGCTTGAGTGTGATTCCCCACCCAACCGTAGGAAGCTAACCCACATGGCATAGCAAACCTTTCCTGTCTTGCCCGCTGCTCTCCTTAGCAGTTTATTTCAGTAGATCTGCCGTTCTGCTCCCCATTCTGTCTCTGGTGAATCCTCTCACCCACCCCCCTGACACCTCTGGCCTACACCCCGGTTCTTGTATGAAGCAATGATCTTATCTTAGCCTTCAAGAAGAGACACTTAGAGAATGTAGCAAACACCACAAATTTTGTGTTTCATATAATGACCCTCAACAGAGTGGGAAAGAAAAACTCAGAGACGTAGGGTACATATCTTAGACCACACAGCTAAGTAGAGTAACAGCCAGGATTCCAGCTGTCAAGTTTTTCTTGTCTCCCATGCTGTCTATTCGTATCTAATACCTTCACATTCTATTAGACACTCATTTCATCCTCTTATTCATTCACCCAGCAATTATTCATTAAGTATCTTTAAAATGTATAGCCCATGGGAGATATAAAAGCCTAGTAAAGAGTCTATCCACCTGGATAGCTTGAGAAGCTTTTGCCTTTTTTTTTTTTTTTAAAGATTTATTTATTTATTTATTTTTATACAAGAACTGGAGCACAGGTCAGAGCGGGGGAGGGTGAGAGAATTCACCAGAGCCAGAGCAGGGAGCAGCCCGCGAGGCAGGAGAGGTGTGCTGTGCCATGTGGGGTTCTCCCTGGCCGGTGGGCAATTGAACCAGTGCTGCAGAGGCTGTGGACAGCTTCACAGCGTGGCGCTCAACCACTGCGCCACCAGGGAGGCCCGAGAAGCTTCGAGAGCTTTTGCTTTGATGTTAAGAAGTTGAGTTTTTCTTTTGTACTGTCAGCATTACTGAATTCTCACGACCAATTTTCTGGGTCCTCCTTTATACCCTCCCTAGTATTTCACATATACATTAGAAGAAGACACTCCCTCATCATATTTTAACCAGGTCTGCTGGTAAAATCTGGCCTAAAGCTCTAAAGTGGCCTGGTTCTTCTTGTTTTAAGGTTTCTTAACACTTCTTGGTTCATAGATGCTCCTGGGGTTCTGAGATAAATTCATTCACTCTACAATATTTTATGAATGCCTACAACAGATCAAGCAGTGCTCTTCACACCCCTGCTGACAATGTCTATACTGATCTAGTTACCCTGAAAGCACAAAACAATGTCAAAAGTAAAGAGAATGAATGAGGTCTCTGAATCTAAACTTGGCCCATCCTTTGACATGATAGCTTCAGACTGTAGAGCACTGTTAGAAAATGGGGTGGAATATGAGTAAAGGCAATGAACAGGACTGCATTATAAGGTTTGAGGGCAGGGCCAAGTAAGAAAGGGAAGAATTATAGTCTTGGGTTAAAAAGAGAATCTAAAGATTAAGGTATAGTGAAAAAGTACAGAAAATATTTTAGCATAAAAATTATATTATCCATTCAAGCAATTGACCTAGGAAGATGGAAGGGAAAGGTTATTTTATTTTATTTTTTTTTTAAAAAGATTTATTGATTTTTATACAAGAACCGCGGTATAGGCCAGATGCGGGGGAGGGTGAGAGGATTCACCAGAGACAGAGCGGGGAACAGAACAGGCAGACTGATGAAATACACAGGTGAGGGAAGCAGCGGGCAAGACAGGAGAGGTC